CATCGAGTTATATAGGGGGAGTAAATACGCAGACAAGTCTAGACAGCAGGAAAATATTGCGGGAATCAGGGTTTCAATATTTCTCAAAGATGAAGAACACAAGTAGGAGGGTAATGGTGGGTACAGACAGAGATGTACCAGGTGGACCAGATCCCCAGCATCACTAGCAAGAAACAACAGCTGCATTTACTACAAGAAAACTGAAACCAGATTCCAATGTTGTAAGGTGTCCTGCGCGAGACAACACTATAGAGTGACGAAGAATAAAAATAACGATCAAATCTCGTTTTTTTCATAATGTTCAATTCTATCCGGTACCGCGTATCAAAAATCTTGTACTGTCTTATTTTCTTACTAGTTTTTCTTTTCTATCCATAATGTGGTCGAAATGTTTTTCATGTTTCTACTCTGCAGTCCTAAATAAATTTTTGAAATCAATTGGAAAATGTTAAAATGTCTATAATACTGTCTTAACTCTTTTAACCATATTTAATAGGAATGGGTGCGATTTGGTTTGGTCCGAAATCAAATCGAACCAAGTACTAATGAGAATTTTAAAAATAAAACAATTGATTTCATATCAAACTATGTAATCGAATCAGAACTAAACAAACAAGTTATGATCTCATCCGGTCTGATTCTTCATATTAAAAAATTATAAAAATAAAAGATAAAATATAAAACTACTTGTCATATTGAAAATAGACAAAATAGAGTATGATATATATCATTTGTCATTCCTGTAATCTCATATGAAAAAAAATCAATTAAACAAGGAAGAATTATGCTAGATGTACACCGAGTGATTTACATAATGGATCACACCCCCTTCACATGGAGGGGGACCCACGAAAATTTTATTGTGTATGTACCCCCTCCATGTGAGGGGGGTGTAATCCATTGTGTAACTCATTGTATACATCTAGCATAACCCAAAAAGGAAACAAATAAAAATCCAATTCCAATACTTAAGAACAAATGATAAAGGCGAAAAACTGACTATTAAACATCATCATAAACTATAAAATCTGGATCGAAAATTAATTCTTAATTAAGAAAACCATACAACAGCATATATCAAAAAAATAACTGTAGTATTTATAATCGGAATATTTTCAATAATTTTCAAGGAGAATATCGTGAATATTGATGATCGGCTACTTTCAAAACAACGAGCAATTTGAGTTTTTACGAAAGATTGAACTAAAAATATGTTATTTTCCTATTGGAGTTGTATTAAAGTTATGAATTTGTAAAGCATTTATAAAATTATTTGGATTTAAATTTTGATTACCCATTAGGCTTTGCTGGGGAAAAAAAGTTTGTTCAAATATAGGTGCATCTTGGTGCAGTGCACTAGCAAAAGGAGAAACTTTGGAGAACTAAATTCACTTTTAATTCTCAAGGCAGCATCGAGAATCGAATAAAAATTAGCCGTTTAACTATGCATGATCCCAAAACCTACTCATTTAGTAGAGGAAAAATCGGAACCAGATCCATCGTTTCTATGTGGTTCTGGTCCAATTTCACATATTCCAATAAAAATGTATACACCTACTTTATATGTTATTGTCACAACGAAAACTAGAAAGATGACATATAATTGACCTTTTGTTTAATAAACGTCTTGCTATTAAAAAAATTAAATTGTTATAAGCTAAACAATTTTGTGAATAGTCAATAGTATAACAATACATATGTGAGCGGAGCAAGGAATTTAATGGGGGAAGGCTAAAAATTTAGAAGCAAAATATACATGTGTTATAACTATATTTAAAAAAATAATAATAATAAAAATTGTACATAAATTTCAAAAATATTCAAAATATTGCGGGAATGATCATCAACTGGCCCCTGGCTCCCATGTCGGATTAAGAAGAATTGTTTAACTGTTTGGTCCTTATTAAAATTGTAATTCATTTTTTTCTTCTTATAACAATCACACATTATCCAATAAATTATTATTAATACGTAAATTCAAAAAAAATTCTTTTTTCTTAACCACACATTTTTTAAAAAATAAAAATAATAATACTATTCAAAAAATTAAAAACTCAGATGATGGAGCCAAAGAGGGGAAGAAAAAATAGATACGAGTCCAAAGAAAATGGATAATGTAATAGAAATGTCAGGTGGCTCAGGTTATTTGTTTTGGTGATATAGGACAATTAATTTTGGAATTTGAAGAAGAGATTGATAGAAAATTGACTAAAAGAGCTACTGCTTCGAAGAAACGGGCATGACTTTTAAATCGTGTGTCAGATTTTCTATTATAATATATTTTCGAAAAGATCTTTCAATGCTCCACACCTTTCCAAGTACCCCGATTAAGGTCGTTTCCAGCCTCAAATTCGTTGTTTAAGGCACGTTTAAGGGCGGCTGAAGTTTTATCATTTTTTTTGGTTTTTGAGTTTTTAATTGTTTTGATTTAGTGAATGTCTATTTTAGTCTTTTTGTTTAAATTAGAGTTCTCAGAGACTATTTAAAGGCTCTTTGTTTTCAGAATAAAGGAATTCGTTTTTGGTTGCTATTATTTTTCTGGTGGATTCCAGATTTTTACGCTAGTAAACCTTTGAACTTCCGTTCTGCGTCATTTGGCCTCGGCCACTACAGACCTAACAATTACGAGAAATTCAGAATAAAACATGTCTTTTAGTTTCTCTTATAACAAACTATGACATACATGTATTTTTCACAGATAAAATATTTATATTGAAACATAATTAAATTGTGTGTATTATAAATATTTTAATTTATATTTTCCCCAAGGTAAAATTATCTAAAATTTAATTTTCTTTAATTTCGATTAACCTTACCAACTTTAGTGTGATATCTAACCCATGTTTCGTGCTTAACCAATTCCTTTCGTCTAACTAAAAAATTCTTCTTCTTCCGAACTTACGATTTTTCATTCATTTCATGTGGGTCCTTCCCTTAATTCTTTCCATAAAAAATCAAAATTTTAATAAATTTTAATAGAAATTGATGAAATGTGTAATTAAAAAATTGCTAAAATCAAATAATAATTACTAGATTATAGGGAAGATGTCTACACATCTTTAGTGTTCCCTTCAAAAGTTCAAACATAAAATGGAGCCTCAGAACCAAATGGACTTGGTAATTGGTTTCAAAGCCCACACTAAATTGAAGCACTACTGACTTGTTATATATTAGAATAAGAGGAAATTACATAAATTCAAGAATTTGAAGATAGGAATTCAAAAATTAGGGACCAATTTTTATTATTCAAAAATCAAGTAATATATAAAAGCCCTAACCCTAATTTTTCACTTACTCCCTCCCCCCTCTCCCTCTTCTCTCGCCCTCTCTCTCCCCTCCCCCCTCTCTCTCTTCTCTTGCCTCCTCTCCCTCCCCTCCCCTATGTGAATGGACTGTGATGCTGCTGTAATGGAAGGAGACCGGAGTAGCTGGGCTTTGCGGCGGTAGCGGCGGAGCTCGAATCTCCTCGAGTTGGGGGCGGTAACACGACGCGACAGAAGCTTCAACCACCCTCAATCCATTTTCGTCGGCCAGAATGAGCTCGAATCGCCGCGAGTTGCGACGATTTTTGGTGGTGTCTCTCCGTTGGTGGTGGTGTATTTAAGATTTTAGTTGAAGACAGATGGTGGCTAAAATTTTTTAGGCAGTGGTGGTTTTTTTCTGTAGGAACTTGAGGCAGCGCAGTGGTTTTGTTGGACTGATGGTGGCTGAAATTTTTGTCGATGGTGGCGGCAGAGGTGGCTAAAATTTTTTAGGCAGTGGTTTTGTTGGACTGATGGTGGCTGAAATTTTTGTCGATGGTGGCGGCAGAGGTGGTGGATCTGATAGTTTGAGTATTTTTGTTGAATTTGGTAGTGGATCTGGTAGTAGCAATGGTGATTTGTAGTTGCAAATGGTGATTTGTTGGTGGTGGAGATGTGGTGTCGGTGGTGGTGGCAACAGTGACTAGGATGGTGGTGGATCTCGCGGCTGCGAAGACAGGCGGTGGTGGTGTTGATGACGGTGGTGTGACCACTTGACTAATTACTTGGTTACGTGTGACCAAGATTAAATTGTGATTTTAAAATTTGATAACTTGTGATTTGAAAAGTACTTTGTGACCAACAAATCTTGAAATCTGTGACCAATAGCTAAATTGTGACATGTAATGTTTTTGATTTGTGACCAATAAAATAAATTGTAACCAATAAAATTTTAATTTGTGACCTCGAAATAATCTGTGACTTATAAAAAATTTGATAATATGTGACCAGTAAATAAATTGTGACATATATTTATGTATATGTGACCATTATTATATTTAATTAATAATATAAATACCTGAATTTTGAATTTTCAAACTATAAATCTGATTTGTGAATTTGTGTAAATTATACACCTGATTTATGATTTTTTTCCCTTAGAATAATAATCTATAATCCATTGAATCGTGCTTGATATATTGGGCCACGTCCCTGAACATCACAAGGTTATCCATTTTCAATTATGGGGCCCAGAACTCAATTTTTTAAGGGAAAATTACCTTCAACCCAACAATTAAAGATTAGTTTTCATAAACAAGAGGGTTGAGTTTAAAATTCATATTTCGGGTGATAAATAAGATTATTGTAATTAATAAATTTAATTAAATCTAACAATTTCATTTTCAAACCTTATCATTTTCCCAATCCTTTTCTCTCTCTATCGTCTAGCCACCTGCCCCACCTCTCACCATTTTCTCTACCCCTGTCCTCACTTCTCCACGGATCCCTCTGACGACAAATCTCATTCCTCCACTACTCTTCCTTCTCTCTTTACCTACCTACCCACCCGCCTCACCCCTCACTCATCTCCAACATCACCGACCGCACGACGCTTCTCTTTAAGTCGGTGTTGTGGCAGCACTCGCCGCTACTTGTAGCACCAGCGACATCAAGAAGCTTCGCCACCACCGACATTGCTACAAGCTAGGTTGATTTTTTTCATTTCATGAAGATGTTGTTTCGATCTTCTTGAGATCGATGTTGTTTCACAAAGATGTTGTTCCGATCTTTTTCAAAAAGCAGCAACACCCAGTCGTTGTATGTGCAAGTAGACGGACGCTGCTTCCTGGTAGTGGTGTGTACAGTGGTAGGTTATGGTGAGGTGGTGGTGCTATTGATGCGATGTGCATTGTGTGCAGTGGTAGGTTGTGGATCTGTCGAGGATGGTTTGCAATGTGAACGGTTGTGGGTCTATTGTTTATCAATTTTGTTTGTTTCACCATAATTTCATTTTCAAGCAAGTACAAAGAACATGGTTCTGCTTAACTGGTTCTTTAGGAGAGCTTATTATAAAGCTTTCAAAATAGTTGAGAAACTTAGAATGGGAAAAAGTTTGCGAATATAAGGAAATGTGAAATTAATGGAATTTGTTAAGTGATTTGGAGGGGGGTTGTATGTACAAAAATTAATGGAATTTGTTAATTGTGACCAATTCTATGTTAATTGTGACCGATTATAACTCGTTGTGACCAATTCTGTGTTAATTGTGATTGGTTGTGGCTTGATTACATACCGTCACAATTAAGATTGACTTGGTCACATACAGTTACACTAAATACAAATTTGGTCACAGTTAGTCACGGATGACACATAACTTGATATTTTTAATTTTTAAAAATTTTTTGCAAGGTAGGGGTGGGGTAGGTGGATCCATGGATTGGGGGTGTGGTTTCCAGTTTTTAATTTCCGAAATTTTTTTGGAAGGTGGGGGTGGTGTGGTTTTCAGATATGAATTTTGGGAATTTTTGCTGGGGTGGGTTGGGTTGGGGTGGGGTGGGGGTAGGGATAATTTATTATCCGTGGGGTGGTGTGATTTTCATATTAGAATTTCTGAAAAATTTTGGTTTGGTTTGGTGTGGAGTGGGGTGGCGTGGTAATTTTATATTATATATATTTAATTGGAATTAATACCTGAATTTTGAAATAATTTAACAAATTTGTTAATTTTGAAAAGTAATTTTAATATGTAGGATTTATATATTGTTCCCATTTTTTAATTACCCCAATCTAACCTCACTAATGCTTAGCCCATTTTTAAAGCCCCTATCATAGCCATGTTTGAGTAGAAGAGCTCGGCTGGCATACTGCACGCACCACCTCAGGTTATCGACATCTTGGCCTAAAGTAGTTTCAAAATAATAATAATTATTATTTTATTCACATAACGCCACATAAAATTTAAATAAATTTTCTTCGCAAAAGTTTTAACACTGCTACTATGACAGAAAATTCTTCACAGAATTTATACAAGGACACCTGTATTAATTATGTGAAGGATTTTCTGAACGCTTAGAAAAATCCAAATTAAATTTTCATTTCCATCCACTCAAATTGTTCAGTCCACTGCCCACATTTAGTGAAGATTCAATGCAATCATATCATTCACAACAAGAATAGGCATGCTCCCGACCTCAAGGTTTTAAGCATGTTTGCATCTCTTTTTTAAGTCCGAAAAGCATGTGATTAGAAAAAATCGTATATGTTAAATGGGCTTTCGAACGCATTACAGAGATAGGGTCGAGACGAGACGAGACGAGTTAGTAAATATAACATCAAGCAAGTGTATGTAGATATGTAACTTCTACTAATTGCTAAGTTGCCTCAAAGTAATTGTCTTAAGTTGTGTATGATCCCGATGTATATCCTACAATTCAGGGAATTCAGTTTCAAGGACTGCTTTCATTTTTTCCTACACTCCAAATTCTCATCACATTACTTTCATGCTCTTAAATTTTTATCAAAATTCTTTGACTAAATCAAACCAATAAAGCCAGTTCCACAAATATGGTTGACAACCACGTGTTGTCAAAATTTGAGCATTTAATGTAAAAAATAATTTTTAAAATCGATGAATATAATGTTGTCAAGTAGGATGTTGTCAACTAATGTAATCAACAAACATTGTACAAAGTAGCGTGATTCAAATCAAACACGATGGTTCATCTTCTACGTGGCAGTCTTCCACCCTTCAATGAAAAATTCTACGTGGCTAATGTCACGGGGCTAGTTTTCTTACACTAGAACAACTAGACACCGTGCGGCCTTTACGTTCACAATTCCCGTCCCTTACGAGAAATGTTAAGTCAGTTTTTCAACACAACTGAATAATCTAATCAAGCAGGCTAAATTACTACAACTTTGAGTAGAGGTTTTGAAGTAAAGGAAAATATGGAAACAAGTAAGATTTGGGGAGAAATTCTTTCTTTATAGAAATCACTTTAATCCCATTAATTATATGAAGGCATGAATTCCCATGAATTCTACATAACTTTACAAATGAGATTAACTCTCTATTTATAGGCAAAATCCTAGCAAGTGTCTTGGAACCAATGACCAAGATCAATCTTCATCCAAGGGTCTCCATTGGATGCAAGTGGCATCAAACCTCCTAAGACCATGAGGAAGTAAAGTTGGAATTTGCTTCATGCAAGTGGCATGTCTCTACAATTCATACATACACTAGACATGTCCCTTCATAGTGACAAACTTGGCTTTTGCTTCATCCTTGGCAATTTTCTTACAAGAGGCATAAGTAACCAACTTGAACTAGAAGTCCCAAAATATTCAGCTTCTAGCCCATGGTATTTCTCCCTAGAAAACCATCGATGTGCTAGAAAAACTATCCATGTCATGCCCGGGTCAGCCCATGTCATGCAACCTGCAACCTATGTGTTGTTGTGCTGCCTCTGTCCTGCCATGACTGCAGTCTGTGTCTAACCATGTCCTGACTACGTCCTGGGTGCTGCTTGCAATCCGCTTGCGATATCTGTCTGCGTTGCTGCCTGTCTTGCAGTGCCTGCCTGTACCCCTTAATTTCCTAGACACAACTTGGACATGAATCTACCACCGTGGACATCAGTCATTTCCCCACCATTTTAGGTGACACTGGCATTGCTATGTACCTTTGAAGCTTAGACCTAATTAACCATAGGTTTACTTCATTTTCCCACCTAGTGCAATGACATCCTCGTGCCATACTAGATCTCAAGTCATCACCTTACAATCCGTCACACTAATGTTACCTTTTGAAATGTGTATTCAATTGAGACTTTTGAAAATTTTGATGTACTTTTTTGAAGTGATGACTTTTGTAGATTTCATGGATTTTTTAGAGATTTGTATGGAATTAGTGAAAATCTTTTGTAAATTTATAAACTTTCATTCTAAAACTTTCAGAGACTTTGGAAAACTTTCATTAGAGATAGAATTTATGTGGATCTAGTGCAATATAGTAAAATTGTCACCAATATAATTAAAAAAATATATTTAAAACGAATAGAAATTTAAGACCTTAATTAAATAAATAATAATAATTATACATATAAAAAATAATTTAGTATTCAATATTAATAATTTAGTATTCAATATTATTAATATAATATACCTTTAAAGAATAGATAAAAATATATATTTTTAAATTTAGTTAGTGTTCATGTTAAATATGCAGAAGAAAAATAAAATTTTTACACCTCCGCACACTTCGGAATAACACTCCAAATAATAATTATACATATAAAAAATAATTTAGTATTCAATATTAATAATTTAGTATTCAATATTATTAATATAATATACCTTTAAAGAATAGATAAAAAAATATTTTTTTAAATTTAATTAAAAATAGATATTTTTAGAAAAAAATAAAATTATAAAATACAATTTAGTTTTTTCATAGAAAATAGAAATAAATAATAAGAGAGAGAGAGACAAAGAGACAGAAACTAATACAATAAAAAAAAAAAAAAATTAATCATAATTCTAATGTTTGTAGAAGGAAAAATGAAAGAAAAAGACTAAAAATAAAATTAATATTTTAATATTTTTTTTCGTGAAAGTCTCTCGAAATCCTGAGATTAATGAGACAAATTTTGAAATTTTATTTGAGTACCTGCTGCTCCAAAGTTAGTATCATAGAGACTTTTATAAAAGTCTCTAAAAATCATAAAAATTTGAATACCTCAAAACTTACAAAAAAATTTTAAAAAGTTTTAATTGAAGTTTTTAAAAGTTTATTAAAGTATTAATTGAATACACCAATTGTAAGGGAATCGGCCTCAATTCACGTGGAAGCAGACAACAATATTCACCAAGAAGATCAAGAACAATTTACACAAAGCAAATCTAATATTATTTGGGGCTCAGAATCACAAAGATACATTGTACCCGTCTGTTCACAAAGAACAAGTCAACAAAAACCCAAACCCTAAAAGAATCGCACTAAAGCAGCTACTCCATGGACTCGATCTCATTTGCCTATCTAAACACAAATCAAACTCAATCGAAGGATCACACAGATGCACACTATCAAGTTCTGTGATTAAAACCAAGTGTTTTAATCAATTTCACAAAGAATCGATGAAGGCAGAGAAGAGAAGACGAACGAAGAAAAGGGTCAGAATATCCCTCTCACACTAAGGCAGAAAACCGAATGAAATCTCTCACTCAGAATGACTGTCCATCTCCCCTTTTATAGTCCATCATCACACCATAGATTAGGCAATAGATCAACGGTCCAGAGCAGCACACTTGGCAATTCCTTTTGGACCGGGTTTTGGGCTACTTTCTTGTGAGTTATTGGGCAATGGCTTTAAACAAAACATTTTCCACAATCTTGGGCCAAGCCCATTTCATCATTGCCCCCAAGAATTAGGAAACCAAATGTCATAAATGGCATCAAATCCCAACACCAATAATTTTAGAGAAATGCTATTCATCGCCAATGGATATGCATCCAGTCAATGTGACGTTAATGTGTCGTTAAATGATAGGTGAAATTAGATAAGTCATTTAATTTCACCTATCATTCAATCAATCATTTACACCCGTATAGAATGGGGATGCATCCCCACTGGGGATGAATAACATTTTTCATAATTTTATAATGTCTCCAAAAAACTATATTAAATATATCTGAACTTTTAAAATTCCAAAAAATCATTAAAAGTCTAGATTAATACGCCATCTCAATCAATGGGAGGCCAATTTGTACCAGACAGATACTGGTCTGAGCTAAAGCGAAAGTTGCAGTGAGGGAGAAATTTTTCATTTTCATGGCTCCTCTATTCTCACCACTGCATTTGCAATTCTATTCCTCGCTTTGTTAATACTTAATAACAAACAAAAACGCTTATGGAGATGGATGCTACAAATCTGTAATCAGTTTCGGGGATTCACTCGCTGACACTGGGAATCTGCTTCACAGTTATCCACCTGGTAAACATATTCCATCTGGGCGATGGCCTTATGGGGAAACTTTCTTCCATCACCCCACTGGGCGGTTTTCCGACGGTCGACTCATTATCGATTTCATTGGTACGTTGGATACATTTTTGTAAAACTATTTTTCATTTAATCGTGTTGACTACTGATTCTGAATTCAATTTTTTGTGTGTATTATATTATAGCTCAGAGTTTGGGACTGCCATTTTTGGAACCATTTATCGGCCGGGAAAAAAATGAAAATACGAGTAGCAGAGATTTTCGTAAAGGTGTGAATTTTGCAGTTGCCGGAGCTACTGCACTTGACGTATCTTTTCTTGAGAAATATGGGATCTTTAATCATCTGATTAATGTCTCTCTGAGTACTCAGTTGGACTGGTTCAAAGAATATTTTGCCAGGCAAATCCAGGTAATTCTATTTGAGTTTGTTTGTTTAAACAATTAGATTTAAGACAGTAAGTAAAAGTAATTAACATTAAATAATTAGAACAAGGATTCGAATGGTTTAAATTATCCAACCAATGTATTGTCACTCCATAAATTTAGTGGATTCATGTGTTCTTCTACCTGATTGAAACACGATCATTTTGCAAACTAAGAAAAGAAGTTTCATTCAATATCTCTTGTTGGAAGAGAGAGGGCTTTGGCTTCTTAGGTGCAAAAAGATACAAAATCTTTGGTAGTTTTGATTGTTCTCTGTCAAATGAATGTCTCCCAGATTTCCATGACTTCTGGTGGATAATATTATCAGTTTTCCTAATATATCTATATTTCCTTACTTCATGTATTCCTTTATGTTGTTTGCGCCACTTAATGCATTGGCTGGAAGCGTTATGCCCTAAATCCAATCAATTTTGGATATAAACACTTTGAATATATATATAACCAATGTATATGTATGGCAATTTCTATTAATGAATTGAATTCATATTCTAATAAATTAAATAATAGAGTCCGTAGATTCAAGTTTTGGTGATTTGTTAATCACAAAGAGTTGTGATTGTGAGATACAAATTACATATGACTGAATCTTAAATCGTCCGTGGTCGAAGTAATAACGAGGTACGGATATAGTTATTACGGATAGACTATCGCGTGTGACATTCTTACTTGTGAAGTAAGTAGCTGATCTCACAAGCTAAAGTGTGGTGACACTTGAATGAACACGTGGATGTTTTGTTATAGAACAAAACATTGGAGACCCGCTGAGAGATTCCACATGGATAACTATCTAAGTGTTAGTGGTTAATCTCTAACGTTCGGTAGTGGAATTGGTCCTTTGACTTGAGGTCATCATAGTACCTTATATGAGGGCAGTCATACTTTGGTGATGTTGGATGTTGCTCTGTCAAGGGTCGCTAATACAGCATCGTTCGGGTATGTCAAGAATCATATGAAGGTTGTGAATGATCAATAGAGGATTCGTCACTCTTAGATAGTAAGAGATTATGATCTACATTTTATCCAGTTAAGTTGATAATGAAATCCTTGGCCAAGGTGAACTCATAAGTCGGAAAAGAGTTTTCGACGTACATTGACTTAACAGTGGGATAAAAGATATGATCGATAATTGAGATTGACACATATCCATATCTCATAATTGATCGGATCATATTGACGAAAGGATTATAGTTTCACGGTAAACGAACAAGTTTGGTTTTGTCATGCTACGTGATATTTCCCGTCACATGTATTGCCCTGATACATTGCTAGATGTCAATCTGGGACAACGAAAATGAATTAGTGATAAATTAAAAGGGGCGTTTTAATTTATTGATTTTGATTAGATCAAAATAATAATTCACGTCGTTCGGCATCGTGATCGGGAACCTAATGGGTCACACACAAAAGAGAATCAGAAGAATGAGATTTACCAATTAATTAATTGACAAGTGTTGGATAATTAATTAATTGGGTTGTTTATTAATAGGCTCGAATTAATTAATTGGATTAATTAATTCATGGACCAGATTTAATTAATTTGATTAATTAAATCTTGGACTGGGTTAAGTTTAATAGATGGGCCGAGCCCAATTGGACTTATATTAATAAGCCGTTAGGGTTTGTAAACATGTATAGAATTTTCATTATTCTTGCTAGCACAAGAAAAGAAAACCCTAGCCGTCATTCTTGTTCTCTGTGTGGATCACCATTGGAGGCTGGACAATTGGACAGCTTGGATTGCAGATCGTGATCATTGAAATTCAAGAAAAAACAAAAGAGTTTGTGGAATTCATCAAATGTATCATTCTCATCACAGTTTCTATCTAAACACATTGCAGATCCTCGTTTGGGAATTGAAAATTGTTTTATTTCCGCTGTGCAAGATTAAGTAAATTCCCAACATTGGCTACTCGCATTTTGACTGCAGATTGTAAAGCATTTCTCCAAACATCTCTAATTATAGTGGGGGAGATTCGAGGCAACGAATACAATTATGCATTCGTGCAAGGGGCAAACAGAGAAGTGATTGAATAATTTGTTATTGCCATTATCGGCAACATCAGTTTCACAATCCAAGTACGTAAGAACCTTGCTCAAATGTTGCCACTAATTTTATTTTTGTCTCCTTTCTCCCGGTATCTGTCATTTGTTTAACATATGCAGCTAACTCACTTTACTCTTATAATGAAATGTACATTTTATTTGTGAAGCAGGAGTTGATTAAGCTTGAAGCCAGGACAGTGATGTCACCTGGGAACCTGCCAATCGGTTGTCTGCCTTATTATCTTTCATATTACGAGAACTCGAATGAGAAGGAATACGACCCGAAAACTGGTTGCCTTAACTGGTTAAACAGGTTTTCCGAATACCATAACGAGCTGCTTCAGAAGGAACTGAATCGCCTACGTGGTCTTTATCCTCATGCCACCATTATATATGGAGATTATTACAATGCTGCAATGTGCCTTTTATCTTTCTCCAAACAAAGTTGTTACTTAACAACGTACAATGATATCAACAAGTTTACTTCACTGAAACTTTCGCTACGCTTTCCCCGTCCCTTTCTATTAATTCTAATTTTTTTTTTCAATAAAATTTACACGTCTAATGTTGTTGCAGGATTTACAAGCGTTGTTAGAGCATGCTGTGGAGCAGGAGGTCCAGATAACTATAATGCATCGACTTGGAGCAGCTATACACCAGCAACCAATTGTGATGATCCTTCTAAATATGTTAGTTGGGACGGTATACACTTCACAGAGGCAGCCTATCGTTGGATAGCCCAGGGTCTATTAGAAGGACCATACACCAATCCTCACATTCGAACAGTGTGTACTGAGATAACCAGAACTTACGGACTTTCTGAGTATTAGTACATTATGAATTGTTGATTTTCCTACAAGCCTTCAGGAGTTAATTGAGGCTGGGGTTGGAAATTTACTTTACGTGCACATCGGATTTTAAACATAATTTTCAATTCTCATCAATGATCTTCTTTGTCCTTATAGAGAAACTGGGATAAAGAATTATACCTTTGTTGAATTCTTTGAACAATTATTGTCTACAATCCACAGTTGTTCCAATATTTGGCCTCAAATGAAAATCAATACATGGAACAAGATTAAGAGAATTAAGGTTTTTTTTCTTGTACTATCAAGAATAATGAATTGTGTTATGAATTTTCAAACCCTAGCAGTCTAGTAATAGAATTTTAAGTGGGCTAAGTTCGTCTCTTAAACTTAATATGGTCCAATATTTAATTAATCCAATTAATTAAATTCGATTCATAAATTAATTAATCAAATTAAGTAATTTAGGCATATTAACAAGTAACCAAATTAATTAATTTTTTAATACTTGTTAATTAATTAATTGGTTAGTCTTATTCTTTTAGTTCTCATTCTGTATGAGATCCATTAGGTTTTCGACAACTACGTCTACGGTGTGAATTATTATTTTGTTCATGAAACTATAATCATTTTGTCAATACGATCCGATCAATTACGAGATATGGATAAGTGTCAATCTCAATTATCGTCCCACTATTAAGTTAATGTAAGTCGAAAACTCATTTTTGATTTATTAGTATACATTGGCCAAGAATTTTGTTATCAACTTAAATTAATAAAATATAAATCATAATCTCTTACTATCTAGGAGTGACGAATACTTCATTGATCATTCATAATCTTCATATGATTTTTGACACACTTTAATGATGTTGTATTAGTGCCCTTTGAAGAGCTACATCAAATATCACCAAAGTATGACTACCCTTATATAAGATACTATGATGACATCAAGTCAAATGACAAATTCCACTATTGAACGATAGATTAACCACTGACACTTAGATAGTTATCCATATGGAATCTTCTCAACAGATATTTAATATTTTGTTCTATAACAAAACATTCATGTATTCATTTAAATGTTATCACACATTAACTTGTGAGATAAACTAATTACTTCACAAGTAAGAAATGTCATACATGATGATCTATCAGTAGTAACAATATCTATTTAATGTAATTTATAGATTCATAATTCAAATAAATAATAGATCTTGTCAAAATAAATGTATTAAACGTATTAAAAGTGTTTCCAATCTAAATCGATTGGATTTAGGACATAACACCTACAGGAACTGCCATCATTCTCTACGCTTCTGTCCAGTTCCGGGGGTTGAAACAGCTACTTGCAAAATATGTGTCTAGATATGCCATTGGTGGATGAATATTACTATTACCTTAAAGTGATTGAACCGTGGCTTACTGATCTTTTTGTTCATTAATTAATTAAGTTTGATGCTTTCGATTTGTATTTTTTCTTAAAACAGTAAAAATAGGAATTCGGCCTTTTTCTTAGCCATTTTGGGTCGTTTTTTGTTTTCGATTTTTCAAAATAATGAAAATGCGTTCTCTTTGTCATTTTCGAAAACAGATTTTGGAAAACAAAAAAAAA